GCTTTACTTTACGAACTTTGTGCTTCTCAGTTATTGCTGGGGATACTTACTACCCTACAATCTTTTAAAACATAGGCCTTTTACTCTGTCTCGTTTGCCCTCAAACCACTGCAGCCTCTCCCACTTACACTTGGAGAGGAAGCAGCCCAGTGACTGACAGCGAGCAAGAAGCACCCTGAAGAAGGAAAAGCCACTGAGGAGCATAACCACCTCCACCACAGGAATGAGTAGAAGAAACTGGCTACAGCACCTGTATTTTTGCAAGATGAAAGCTTCAAAGCCAGGAGTTCTTGTGTCAGACCCCGGGCTTGTCTCCAGGCCCAACCTTTATTCCAGCATCAACAGAAAAGGTCCCTGGGTTCCACCTTCCCTACCAGCAGGCGCCACTATCACTGTGGAGCACGTCTGCAGGAATCTGAATGCCCTGGGTGTTAACAGTTCTCTTCTACATGCACCACTGGCAGGGCTTAGAATTCCAAGGCATATACTGCCACGATAAGCAAATATTTTTTTCTGAATTTCCTAAGGTGAAATTACAGAACTTAAGGATAGAAAGAAAGGGGTGGAAAATAAACTGCCAGCATGTAATACAATATGACTTTCAACAGGCTGGAATTTTTATTTTTTTTATTTTTATTTTTTTTTGCTGTCACCTAGTTCAGGAGAAGAAGGGCTAAAAAATTTTAAGGGTATAATATCCTACTTTCACCATATAGTGACTTTAAAAATGAAACTTTGGTAAATCACACGAATGTTAACTGTAAATTATGAACACTTGATTAATATACCTTAATTACTGACTAGGCTTCCAAATGAATACATGTCTTAAATTTGCTGACAGTTAAATATTTTTAAGCAACCCTTAAGATTTCAACATGCTTGCCTTTTCAATAGTTCTGCCTGATAAGAAGGTCATCTTGGGACATTCTTTATTGTTACAGTGACCATTAACACGAACATTTATCTGCGCGGATAAGGTTCTGAAGCTATTTTAGATCACAGATTTTCCATTCATAAATGGCCACACCAGCTGCTGGAGCAGCAGGCTCTCTTTGGAGCCCGTATACAGAGGGCTGGGTTGCCAGATCACATCAGAAATCCAAGAAAGCAGGGTCAGGGGAGAGCAATCCTTCACAGGGACATGTCCTTCCAGGACTCCTTTGGCTCATCGATCTTCTTCTACTATGCCAATAATTTCATTCAACCTATATGTGGTCCAAGAGTGGCCATAGATTAGACAGCAAGTTTCAACAAAATCTAAATACAATCATTTTTCCATCTAGTCAATCAAGAACTCCTGAGAAAGTTTTCAAGGTCAGCTTCATTGTGGCACAAACATTTTCCTGTCCTATTTAGAGTGTCAAGAAGTTATAGCACTCTTGTTAGTATAAAAATATGCAACCAATTAACAGACATTTCAAGTAATGAAGTTCAAATAAATGGCCTGAGCAGGGTCAGTATTTAGTCAGCTAAAATCTAATGAACAGGTTACACGAAAGGCATTTTAATGCATGCAATGCTCATGAGCATAGATCACACTGTGCACATTACTCAATTCTCAAACAAGCTTGGTTTTGAGCAAGTTGAGAGCATTCAGGCTTAACAATCAGAAGAGAAACAAAACAAAAAACAATCTCAAAACAAAAATTTCACTTCTGGAGAGCTGGTGTTCCAATTAGGGTGATTACCACAGATGCATCACTGACATAAAAACCTTTTTATAGGCTTGTTTTCCCCTCATGAATGTTAACTGACGCATAAAACAAGTTCAATTTTATCAGCTCCCTATAAACACCTATACTCCAAAGCTGCTTACAAAAATCTCACCCACTGAAATTACAGTACTGAGTAAGGTCTCTTAAACTTCTAAACTCAGAGGTCAAAGCTACACATTTTCCATTCAGAAGTAAATTTTTATTTGTCATAGCGCAATAATAATGCATTTTTCTAAACACTTAAGTTCTAGGGTCTTAACTGCCTAGGCAAAGGTCATCTGCACCACCCACTTAAAGGCTTCATTTCTGTTTTTTGGTTTGGTCCATACATCACTATTCCACTCATCTTTCTAAACGGAAACATCATTTGTACCAAAGCTTCAATGGGCCCCCATTTCTACAGAAAAGTCAAAATCAAAGTTTATAAATTACTTGAGCAGAAAAGACTGCAATTTGTTTAGCACTGTCCTTTCAAAGCATCTCAGCACTTATCCACGCTCTCACACAACAGAGTTTAATTTCCTGATGCACCAAACCGAGTCTTCATCTCCAATAAGCTGTGTGTACCTAAGCCAATTATTCATTCTTTAACTGTCTGCCGCGCACTGCTCTAACAGTAACACACACAATAACACTAGACATAAATGCTTATGAAATCACTCTAAAAATCTCATTTACCATTGAAGAAGTACTACGCTACCACTGGTTAAAGCACAGCCTCCACGGTGGAGAAAACATCCATGCTCCATGATCAATTCGTAGGTGCAGCTGGCTGGGCCCCTGTCCTTTTCCTCAGTGCTAGCTGACTCCCTTTCCCAAACCAAACCTGAGGTATCCTTATCCCCAGTTCTTCCTGCCTTCACCAACAAAAGTGGCCCCAAAGTATGGACTCCTGCCTCTGCTCCTCCTTCCCACCTACATCTACTAACACAAACTCTTTATCAGAACTCACTATTTTCTCCTATTCTCTCTGAAAATTTTACCTCACCCCCGTTAAATCCTCCCCACTGGTCAAAAAAATAGCATAACAATAACCAAACTATTCAGTCTCCCATCTCGAAAAAGAAAGAGGGCAGAAGGGAAGTTCTCACTTTGAAGATACAGCTATCTCAGCCACGTCTCAAGAGAAGACCCAGTGCCACCTGCTGCCACCATCCTGTTCTGTGTTCTCCTGTATCCCTTTCCCTCCACCTACGTCAACGGCATCCCCATTCGCTAGAGTCATTTCAGACTTCCCCAACCCTTCTTGTCTTTTCTTCCTTTTGATGGCTCCATTCCAGTGACCTCTGATTCCAGCTGGAGTTGGCCTGCTCAGAGAAGGTCGGAGCAGTCTGACATCATGAAAGCTGTTGCCTTTCCTGGCTTCCACAATCTCTGCCTCCCCTCCCACCCCCGACTACCCATGTGTTCTATACATTCCGGCCTTTCTGAGAGCTTTCCCTACTGTGCATTAACAGGGCAGCCTCTCCCAGGCTCAGCCAGAGACCTCCCAACCTAGATCAAGACAGCTGATGGGAAGCTAGCATAGGAAGCACCATCAGCCTGTGATGCACACAGGCAGCACACAAACGATGCCGAATGGCCCAATGCTGGAGGGGCAGGAGACAGTCATACTTGACTCCATGGGATAGCACAGAACCCACAAAGCCCATTCGTATTCAACCCAAAGTGATCACTGGAAAACCCTGAAGGAGTTTGCTGTGTAAAGGTAACTCTTGTTTCTAGAACACACAAACAAAAAAAGAATACCTTCTACCACAAAGCTATTGCAGTGCTCTGAAGCTGAGGACAGAGGAGCTGCAGCAGCCAGGATGTCACAGGATCTGAGACTAGACAGAGCCTGCAGCACAGTTATACTAAGCCCAAGAGAGAGGAAAAACTGGAAGAAAAAAAAAAAAAAAAAAGGCTCTGAGGGCCTGGCCAGGCTGCAGGAGAAGTGAAGAGTAGTGATAGGCCAGGAAAAGTGACCAGCCATGTGCAAAGTAAGAAATGCCATCCTTTTGTGAGCAAATGGATAACACAATGTGAGAAAAGAATGAGAACAGGTACACTGAAGGATGCCCTAAACATTTGAGAGGAATGCCATTTACAATGTTCATTGTTCCACTTGGTTATCTCCAGCCATTGAAGACGCAGAGAGTCGAGATGCTCAGAGCCCTGCAGAGCAAGCATCACTTTCTGCCAGTGACAGTCACAGCACCGGCTCAGCAATCACTCTCAGGACAACTATCACCGAGGAAGGGTAGTGAAAAGTGCTTCACTTTAAAGCCTTACAGATTACAAGTTTGCCATAGTAATTGCAAACAAATAAATTTAAAATCTAATTAACTTAAAGTTCCAAAGCTCAGTACCGCACATAGTCAGTGCTGACAAGGAGCTTCACCAATTCAGGAGGCCTGCATTGACCCACCACAAGACAAATCATCTATGACTAATTATCCATGGCTCAAAGAATAATCTAGTAATTTACAATTTCCACAATTCATAATATTCTTATTTTAGACTGTATGTTTGAGGATCTTTTCTATATTTCCAACTAAATGTACAGTTACTTTTACATTCCTTACATTACGAGATAAAATTACCTAGAACAGAAAGGCATCGTTTTCTCCAAATATTACACACAGGCCCACTAGAAGATAAAGAAAAATGCTCTGACCTCATCTTTGACCAACTTTTTCAAACACTCCTTTTCGGTGTTTCCACCTTAACCCCCGACTCCCAGAGTTGATCAGCTGGAAGTACACACGTCTCAGAGGACTCCGAGACAAATCATCACAATCCTGCGACGATCCATGAGTCTCACGACCTTCGCTACAGCTGCAGAGCCATGCGTGGTGGCACTCCAACAGCACAAACATGGCCAACCAAAGACCTGCTGGAAGTTTTCTCCAGGACCCTGGCCTTCTGGAGAGAGCAGATCTGTGCCTCATGAAAACCAGAGCACAGAAACACACTCGTCCTGATTACCAAGACGTGGTAATTACAGAGAGTGGCGGCAATTCAAGTCTGCTTTCAGATCTACATTCACTTTAAAGTGTAAACCTGTTTTATTATTTTACTGAATAAACATCATTATTGGAATGTTACTAAGGAAGAAAGTCTGTGGCTTCTCCTCCTTTGCTAAGAGGCTTTACCCTGGCCTACTGCCCCGATGATGGCCCACCTCCTTTACACAGAGGCACTCGGGGTCAACTCAGTCATGATTCTTCTAAGGCTTTAGAAAATGCACAAGAGATTACGAGGTACCGAGGAAAACAAACAATGGATTGTTACAGTACATACATTCTGGTGGAAGTCTGTTCTTTCTAAAAGCAAGTCTCTCAGTTTTCTTTCTGCTTTCTGCCAAACTAAACAGGACTCCGTAAACATACTGACGAACTGGCCTATAGAGCAGAGCGGCCGGAGGCAGGTCCTTGTTGGCTTCATCTTCAATAGAAACAGCAATTTTGATTTCACCCTTTGCATGGAAGAAAGCAGAATAATATTGCACATTTTTCATGTTGCATTTACAATACACTCACAAAAATATACTGTATCAACTCCAGTTAATGACATTGCAATTCCATTCCAAATCAACTGCTTAACAAGCTGCCTGCATCAAGATGTTTAGGAAGAGTCCATTTAGCAGGCTGTGGCCAAAGCATATGCTCAAAAAAATCAAGATAAGATCTACATTATTTTATGTTTAATCCGAAACCAAGAACAAAAGAAAACCATGTAGATGTTCCAAAGTCTTTGAAACCATCTAGACAGATAACATCAGACAATAAACAGAATAGAAAAGACTGAGAACTTGCAAGTTTTATTTGGAGAGTCGGGATGGTCATATGCAATATAATTGATAATTTTCAACGACCTACATGTAAACTGAAGAACTGAGTATCCTGAAAATATAACAATCAAATTTTCTTTACCAGCGTGTCTCACTGCAGGTAAGGACATACATGGCCACTAGGGCAGAAAACAAAAGCACCCCACCTTTTTCACGTCCCAGGGCCAATGCAGCAAGAACCACAACTGACTCAGAATGTGCTGCCAGGAGACAAATAGCTGGCTGTGGCCTATGGCAGCTGAGATTGCTGCCAAAATGCTGCGGTCATCTTTCTCAGGGATCTTACAGCATCAAGATACATCTCAAGATATTGTACAATAAATTTTATTTATTTATACTCGGCATAAAAATGCATTTATGATCTCAATGTCTATTAAGTTAACTGATATGTATGTGTTAAACAATAACTTTGCAACATTTGTTCTTTCAAGTAAATTTAATTTCAAAACTGATCTTTCCCCTTACCCTCTGTACTTTCATATTCATTAATCCAGTGGCTACATGTGTTCTAGCATTCTCATCTAGGGAATATTTTTCTTAATAATATGACGGTTTGTGAGTTCTCTTTATTACCATAAAGATGCATCTCACTGCAAATGTCTTAGCCTGGGCAATTTAATACCAGAGCCATTCAGCTAACAGGAAATAATATGCATTGTTGTATAAACTTTTCCCTGCTAAACTAAAAAAAATTAAGTAGCATTTCAAAATCCGAATAGACAATCATCTCAACCACGGTCATTTTTTATCAGTATTTGCCCTTGAAATTCATGAGAAATAAGGAAGCATGTCAGTACAACTTGCAGCTCTCACATAGATCTAGCCAACTATCCGCGCATCAGATCCAGCAGTGTGGACATAACAGGTGGCTCCTGGGGACCTTACATTCCAAACAGCCTCAGGAAGAGTCAGTGTTGTTTCTTTACATGTTATTTTGAAAGAAGTCTTCCCAAAACTTTGGTTCCTTAAACTTAGCAAAATGCTTTCCCCACAACAATTACTTTTCACTTACCCTTTATAATTTATGTTGAACCTGAAAAATAAAATGTTCACCTTACAACCATAATCTGAAAAGTGATACTATAAATGCATACCCATATCAAATAATATATGAGATTTAGATGAGATTTGGAGGCATTACAACTACAAAATAAATTAAAGGATCTGAGCAAATAGTACTGGCTAAATGTTTTCCATGTCCTTTGATTAATAAAAGTAAGCAATGTCTGGATTAGTCGATTAACAATTGAAGTCCACCTCAGGAGTATTAGGGAACAGGAGTTAACAGTGCATCTCTTGATTCCATTTTACAAACTACAGATAGGTTGTAGAGAATAGACAGAAAAGTCTGATTATATATGGTGGTATAGGTATTGAGAAAAACAGGTTAATAATACATAATAGCAATAAACCAATTCTGCAGGATCAATCTAGTAACTGAGGTAAGTTGTTAAATGTGGGGCTAAAAGTGCCAACAGAAAGACTACAAATCACTGAAGAAATTTAAATACACATAGATACACTCAAGACACCAAGATTAAAAAATAATTGATGCCACACTATATATATATATATATATATATATATATATATATATATATATACACTTAAGCATACATTTGATAAGACACTAATAAAGTGAAATTATGACACTATGTAAAACGATAGTTGCATTTTCTGACTATGCACACGTTAACAAAATCCTGCATTCCATCTTTTGCTCTTAGCACTATTAAAACTGCCCTCTATGAGGTCATGAACAAGTTAAAACACATGAAGTACTATGAGCCATTCAAAGGGGGAGACATTATTTTCTAAGCACAAATGATAAAGAAATCAGATATTGTATCTGACATCAGAAGCAAACCTGATGCTACAGCACAAATGTGCTGTAAGAAAATTCTGAAACTGAAATAACATTAAAATTACAAGTCATAAAATAATGTGATGCATTATTTCATTAGATGTATAAAAATATTTTATACTCAACTGAAGAAAAAAGTGAGACTTTTCACAAGTTATTTTAAAACTGTTTTTACAGTTCTAAATATTCATCTTTCATTCAATGTTTAGAAAGGGGAAAGTGAACTTTGTTTCAAGTAGATGAGCACGATAGAAAAACGACTCAGAAAAGGACAGAAGGGCAGAACAGCCATAGGAACGGCCACTCGCCAAGTAACAGAAGCCACTCCAGGGCCCCTTTGGTAATACCTTCGTCAGGACATGGAAGATGTAGGGGTACATCAGCCCCTTCTTGTGCCTATGCTCGGCCACTCTCAGCACCTCAGGTGCAACCGGGGGCAGGGGAGGTGTGGTGATGTCCATGTGATTCCTGGTGGGCATCGACAGGAGGCACGGGATTGGCTGGACAGTGCCCATCTGGCTTCCCTTGCCTTCGGCTAGTTGGCTTCCTGAAGAGGCAGTGGACGAGCCTTCTGCCTAGAGTGCAGAGAGCGGAAGGGAGGAAAACAAGCACGTGTCACGTTTTCATTCACTTGGAATGTGTTAGGTGCCTGTTCACCTGCCAGACACGGAGGGGACACAGATGAGTCCTGTCTTGGAGAGACCGGATTTGGTGCCACCCTAAAGACAGAGGAAAGAGAGAGCACCCTGGCCCAGTCCCTTTTCCTTCAACAGCCTCCCACACTGCACAGCAACAACACCCCTGTGCCACGGGAGAGCGCTGTTACTCCCACTGCTCTGTGTCCCCCTGCGGGTCTTCTATGTTGGGAAGCAGGAGCCTCACTATCTTGTTTGGCTCTTACTTGTCCACCACCCATGTGGTCCATTCCTGTGTTTCTGCTTTTCTCGAATCCTTGCCTAAGATCTCTACACAAACAGGAAAACTAACACTCTGAGAGGCTGTGCAGTTTGAACGCAGTTACACAACCCTAATACGTAGATACGGAATTCTAATTAATCCTGGGCTGACTCTATGCCACAGCTGGTACTTAAACAACAAACAAAAACCCAAACTCAAGCACTCTCTGTAGTCATTATAAAGCCTTAAGTTAATAATTATACACAAGCAAAAATTAAACCAAAACCCCCCAAAAACCTGCTAAGCCACAGATTAATGCCATTAAAAACAATGTCTGATATCCATGGATAATGACATAGAAAAAGGTACATGATACACGGTTAGGTAAAAACCCCCATTCTGTAACAACTACACCCCCAAACATGGAGTGTGCACACATGCAAAGGAAAGGGGCGGGTCCCCAAATTATTAACACAGTGATGGATTGCTGTTGGGCAGCAGAACTAAGGAATGAGAACGGAAGGGAGACACTTTAGCACAGTCTGAACCGCCTGAACAGCTGCCCAAGAGCAATTATTATAGGTATGATAAACTTTATCAGAATGTTGGAAATAAGAACTGCTTGATTGACTTAATGCCACCCTAAAGACATATAAAATTTTGTTTTGAAACAAAGTATATTATTTACAATGGTACATAACTAAGTGCTTAATTTTATCCTTTAAAACACGAAGTGCCAAAATTCATCTTAAGAAGAATAACTCATAGATAATTCACCAGTGTTTTCTACACTCTCCATTCTATAAGAATATGGATGTAAAACAACTCCAAATGCTTTGGAAGGTGCTTTGAAAATAATAGGTATCCACAAAGGATTTTTGTTACTTATTTGCAGAATAGTTATTTGACTTCTTTAGACAAATGTCTGACATTCAGGCAACCCTGCATATTAACCACCAAAACCTTCTAGCAGGAAACCTGTTCCTTCTTGGTAAGCACATGTGGCAGATGTGGCTTTGCAAATTAAAAAGATATTTTTAGAGATCACTATTAACAGGCAGAAGTAGAAGAAAAGTGAGAAGGTCGGGCGTGGTGGCTTATATCTGTAATCCCAGCACTTTGGGAGGCCCAGGTAGGGCCTCCCCAAGATCACTTGAGGTCATGAGTTCGAGACTAGCCTGGCCAACATGGCAAAACCCCATCTCTACTAAAAACACAAAAATTAGCCGGGCGTGGTAGTGCATGCCTGTAATCCCAGCTACCAGGGAGGCTGAGGAAGGAGAATTGCTTGAACCCAGGGGACAGAGGTTTCAGTGAGCTGAGATCACGCCATTGCACTCCAGCCTAGGAGACAGAGCAAGACTGTGTCACACACACACACAAAAATAATAATAATAATAATAATTTAAATTTAAAAAAAAAAAGAGGGTAAGTGAAATTTAGCATCCCCAGTGCTTTCTCAGTGAATCTTCACAAAAACCGACAACAAATGTGGGTTCAGGAAGTTCCTAAGCACCTTGTCCGAGACGATGCAGAGAGTAAACAATGGGGAAATGCATCAGGTGCCCACCATGCAGAGAGACTGGCAGGCTTGGGTATAGCTCTGAACTCTCCCTTCCCCTCTTATCCCCTTCACAAAGGTTTACATGACCCAATTAAAAGAGAGAGAAATCATTTTTCACTAATTGATCACTAATACAAAAGGAGTCAGAACTCAAAAACTAAAAGGCATAGACTTTCTACCTTTGTTTGGTCTCCTGGGTCTCCTCGTGCCTGAGGCTCTGAGTGGCTTCCCGTCTTCTCCCAGCCAATCTTGTTCCCGCTGATATGGCTAAACATAAAATGAACACAATTACTGTCCAATCACTTTCACAAACCGGCTGACAATTATAAGAAGGGCCTGAGCTAAGTCTACAGACTCATAATAATACTACTTTTAAAATAAACATGATGTCGAGAAATAATTCTATTATAGTAATATTTCTTCCTGCTTCAAAAGGGTAGGTGATAACCACATACTATGGAAAAGACATTATCCAACATCTAACTGAGGAGTCACCAGGCAGTTTAGGGATGGTCTGTGATGTGCTTAGCACCATGGAGGACGCAGAGAAAACAAAGGCAAGCCTTGCCTTGGAGGATCAAGATAAAGATAAAGATCAGCATTTAATTGGCAATTATCAGGCAGTAGAAGACTTAAATGTTACCTGCATTGAACACTACACATAACTTATAAATAAATGTAAGGTGACAATACATCGCATAGGGCACTCCAGTCTGTTCATGTGGAGGGGACATTAGAGCTAACACCAGAGGTGACTCAAACCGGAAAATCTGAGAGGCAGGGAAGATACACTCTAGGCAGAGGGAGATGGCACAAACTCGGTGCGTTGACAGAACAAGGAGTTCATGGGAACTTATTTGGAGAACGGCTTTATTTGATGAAGTAGTGAGGAAAAAAAAAAAAGGTAAGGAAAAAAGAGATGAGAAGATGACAGAGCAGCTCAACTTCCAGAACGAGAGAGAGCTGTGCTGTGGCCCCTAACAGTCTGGGAAAACAACGTCACGGATTTAATGAGTACTTTAAAAACCTGAAACAAGACAGACTAGAATGAGTGCTGTGAATTAGCAGCATTTCATAAAGTCTTTGTTCACTTGTAGTATATAAGCCAATGTAAAAGGAGTGGATTACCACAGTCCTCAGGCAAATGTGAAATGCACTGTCCACAGGTAGCAGAGGATGTACAGGGGCTTGAGCAGGGACAGCAGGACGAAGCACAATGTGACCCTGAGGCAGGGACAGTTGTGGCGCTCTGTGCGCTCACCCTTCCAATATAAGGTTCCATGCCCAACAACCTTCTGAAAACTAGTGCTGGCCACAGGGCATGCCAGCATGGGTCAACTGGCCTGCCTTTATAACTGACTCGCATGACTAGCACGAGGTTTTAAGATCAACTAATTCTCCTATCTTCCAATCAACTTCATTTCAGTTCTGTCTTTTAAAAAGGGGGGAGGAAAGCTGCAAAAAAGAGCCCATCATCACATGATAGGGCCTTCCAGCCAAGGACATCGCACACATGCCATGAAAAGTTCACCCACCCTGTTCAACTTCCCAGGTCTTCACAGAGCTTGGAGAAACCACTGCTCTGTGTAAGTTCACTACCTTATGCCCAATCTCAACCTGCAATTTAACAAAACTAGAGAAAACCCCAGCAGTGGCTCAGACACATCAAAAACTAGTTCAGGCATCCCCAGAGTGTGGTGGTCTGTCCCATTGAGAAAGCAGCCACTGACAGTGGAATGTTAGCAGACAATGGAGAAAGGAGGTAGATGAGCACGCTGAAAGGGATGCATCAGCACGCTGGGAGATGCAAGGGGCAATAAATGACCAAATCCTGGTCTAGAAGTACATGGCCACATTGGCACAAACCTTGCTTATCTACCACAGGATGTAAAGAACAATAAGCATTCTCAAAGTGTTGTTAAGCTTAAGACTCACGTGGAATGCTTATTAAGCATGCAGATCCCCAAGCACCCATACCCAGCATATCTGTCCCTAGAGTGTCTGGGGTTCTTGGAGGATAAAAGGATCTAGAGGATCATACACCCAGGATGGTGGGGCAGGGGAGGCCGAGTGTTAGGAAAGTGCCAACCAAGGAGGGGACGCACCTCTCTACTAAAACTGGAGAGCCGAGGCACCATGCCAGCGCCACCTGAGATCACACAGACCCTACATTTGCAAGCCTTAGTGTTGTTCTAGGTAGATTATAAATCTAAAAATAAATGTCATAATGTGAATGCTCATATAACCTAACAATCATACTGTAAAATCTAAAATTCTGCCTGAAAAGCATCTTGACAAGAAACAGTTTTTGAGAAGGCCAATATATTTCAATAGGATAAGGATATTACTTTACAGTTTGAAAAAAAAATTGAATATATGACAAAAGCCTTGCTTTGAAGAACAGATGGATAAAATTTCAGAATACTTCTATATATATTTGTTTCATTTTACACCACTAATAATACCTTAAACTGACACTTGGAACCATTTACATAAACCAGACACTTCACTGACTCACACTGCACTGAGATGCACTGAGACAGGCATCAGCTACAGGGAAGTGGAGTCAGTGACGTGGGCACTGTGCAGGAAGCCTGCGGTGCTCTCACAATCTCATGCCCACCCCCACACTATAAATCTCTAATGATAAAATGATAAAATCCAGGCTCAGAGAGTAGGAATCTACCCACAGTCACAAATGAAGTAGCTGGATTCAAACCCAGACGCATTATTTCAAAGTATTGGCACCTGCTACCACAGCAGAGACGAACTGAGCCTACAGACGGTTTCACACATATGGGAGGGTGCAGCATGCAACCGACAGAAAGGGTGACTCTGGCAAGTCAGCGCAGCAGCTGGGGAAGCCCAGCACTACAGGACGGTGTATCCACAGGCTGTCAGAGAGGTGTGCCAGGCCTCACTTCACTAGGAAAGTTTGGAGCTTCTCCTGTACGATCGCCTGGGAAGATAGCAAACTGTTCTAGTCACTGAATGACTTATTTTCTACATCTTTCAGCAAGTTGGTGAGGCTAGGATGGAAATACACTGGTGTTCGCTTACACCAAGTACACCAGGGTATGTCATGTCACTCATGTTCCGCCTGTCAGGGGTAGAGGGTTTTCATTGATGGAGCAGAAAAGAAAGAGAACGTTAAGTAAAAGCTGACTCCTGTGTCAACAAAGAGCAAAGGCAAATAAAACCAAAATGAAAGAAAACAAATCATTAAACGTAGAAAAGAAAAGATCAAATTCACAGCAGAACTATCTGGCATATATAAATGTTTCATTTCTATCTGCTTCTCAACTCAACAGGGCTGAGAATAGACAGCCAGGAGGGTCTCTGATAGTGTAACAGAGAGGGCCTGGGCCCTGCTGGTGCAGGGAAGCAGGAGGCCTCAGCCTGGTTAGACAGATGCTCAAGAGTTCTTCCGCAGGGCCTTGCCCTGCCAAGTGCTATCTCCCTACAGAAGCACCAGTATCTGGGTGCCCTGACCAGGGAAGCTGTGACAAGAGTCACAGAGACAGACACCCAATAGGTCTAGTCTCCTCATGCCCCTAATTAAGATAACATCACACATTCAGGGTTTTTTCCTTCACACAATGGGTGAGTTTAAAAGGTCAGGAACATTTTTCCATGCAGCAGTCAGATGATAGCTCAAACTTCTTTCACAGGCTTGTCAGGACTTCTCGCTGCCGTAAGAAGCCCCAACTGGTCACGTAGCTGTCCCCTTGCAGCCCACAAGTGAGGGTTTAGAGACACCTCACTGTGTCAACACATCTGTCTTGACAAGATCAATATGAAATGTCAACATAGATCAGTGGATGACTAGAACACAACGTAATGATATAGATCATAATTAATTTTTGTCAACACATAACATTCAGAATCACTTTTATGAGAAGATATTAGAAATGGCACCATGTGTTAAAAAGTCAAAACATGAGAGCCGGGCGCGGTGGCTCAAGCCTGTAATCCCAGCACTTTGGGAGGCCGAGGCGGGTGGATCATGAGGTCAAGAGATCGAGACCATCCTGGTCAACATGGTGAAACCCCGTCTCTACTAAAAATACAAAAAAATTAGCTGGGCATGGTGGCGCGTGCCTGTAATCCCAGCTACTCAGGAGGCTGAGGCAGGAGAATTGCCTGAACCCAGGAGGCGGAGGTTGCGGTGAGCCGAGATCGCGCCATTGCACTCCAGCCTGGGTAACAAGAGCGAAACTCCGTCTCAAAAAAAAAAAGAAAAAAAAAGTCAAAACATAAATACAAAGCATATTATCTGTCTGGAACAAGAGCATAACGATCTGAAAGAAAAAGCTACAGCTACAGTGAAGCCATTCCTTCAGCCCCAAGCCTGCCTACCTACGCATACCTCAGTCACCTGGAGCAGGACACAGTGAAATTCTCTTTGTGAAACACGAAGTTTTTTTTTGAAATGGAGTTGAAAAGGACTGAAAGGAGAAGAAAAACACTCAATACCATCTTCAAGGAAAAGAGGCAGATCAGGTGCATACTTCATGGGATACCAGGTCAAGGGAAGCCAAATAAAATTCTTTAGCTCTTTCACATTAAAAACCAAATCAGTGTTCTGGTTTTCCAGCATACTAATAGTTAATTTTTAAAAAGTAGTGATAGCTACCATTCACTGAGCCTATACATCAGCTGACTTAATTCACAAACAGCTCAGCAAACCTGCCACACACATTTGAATGCTCTGAGGTTCCACAAGCTTCAGGTCACACCACCACCTAGAAATACCAACCAAGAGACTCTGATCTTGGTTCTTGCCAACAGCTGGCTGTCAATGCTACTTACAGAGCATGCTGACACCAAGCAGCCTGTCTTCCTGCGGTTCATCTTTCACAGTCCAGATTGGTCCAGGGAGTACAGGTCATTGGCAAAAATTAACAGAGGAGGGGAACACAAGACTTACGCAAGAGATGCCTCCATAACACCACATGTCAAAATAAATAATAAACGTGGAGATGTTCTGCTCCATAGGGCCTTCTCTCCTCTCACGATACATATAAAAATTCTCAAGCAAATGAAACAAATTTATACGAAGTCACAAGGTGGAAAAAAATTCAGTCTTCCATCTAAACAAGGATTTTTACATATCCATTTTAAAATGTCAGTAATTTTATCCACAAACATTAAACCAATAAAGTGGACATGTACAGATCTTATTAAATAGTAGGTATTAGGTACATATACATATTTATACTTACATACACAAATAAGAATACATACTGAAATAAGTATATTTAGCT